AAAAAAAAAAAAAAATAGATAGTGTGTGATACCCGATAAAGATCGATGTACCGGTCTTGATTTCCCCAGCTTCACTGCCCTTTTCTGCAAGGGCATCAGCCGGAAAATCTGTTATCAGGCTAATTCTTACCAAATCCATCAATCGGATCGCTGCGTTTCCCGCATTTCCTTAACGTCAGCACTAAAGGAGACCGCAGCATTTCATTTGTAATATGCATATCTATCTTGGAGCTTTTGTTAAAGACACATCTGATGGATGCAAAGAAATTCCCGCTCGTGACAATGCTTGTAAGCTGTGTGCTCTCTGGAAGTGATTCCAGTTCCGGGATGAAGTAATTTGGCATCCCTGGGGGATACTTTGCTGTCTATATAAAGGCACATTTTCCTTGCTTTCCTCCAAGAGGAATTATCATCTACTTATTACTCCAGGATCCAGAAAATAAATCTATAAATCATATCACGCTTTACCAGCTTATTTAAACGAGATGCGGTCATATGCACTTTTGGCTAGTGCTGTTTATGGCAGTCTTGCTGCCGTGACAGCAGCCCTCCCAACTCCTGAATGCGTTAGTACAAGTTCCCATCATCTTTATATAAGTGAATAGAAGTAATGCTAATCATAGAATAGTGTTCTACTCTAGCTAAAGAATTGCCGAAAAATGTCTTCACTAGCGATTCGAAGGCATGGGATACTCATAACAAGGATTTCTGGTGTCAGTATTTCCAAACAGGCGTTTTATATATAATCTTAATTAAAAGACACTAACATGAATACGTAGCCTTGACTTCAATTCTCGACCCAAGCTGTGTTTTCCTCCCTGAGACAAGCGAGCATGTCTCCAAGGCAGTTCAAATTCTGGCAGAGAATGATTGCAAATTTTCCATCAAGGGTGCAGGCCACAGTGCCATTCCAGGAGCCGCTAACATCCATGACGGGGTTATGATTGCCATGGCTTGGATAAATTCGACCGATGTCCAGGATGACTACATCCGTGTTGGAGCGGGTGCTCACCTCGGTGAGGTGTACAAAGCCCTTGACCCTCATCACAAGGCAGCTGTTGTCGGCAGGTTTTCGGAGGTTGGACTAGGAATGGTTGTTGGCGCTGGCATCTCATTCTTCTCCAACAGCAAAGGCCTTGCTATTGATAACGTTGTCAACTTCGAGGTTGTCGTAGCCAGCGGTGAGGTCATTAATGCAAACGCTACAAGCAATCCCGATCTGTTCTGGGCCCTGAAAGGGGGCAATAACAACTTTGGTGTCGTGACCCAATATAGCCTGGCTACTATTGACACCGCAGGAATGCTTCATGGCGGCGTGATTACCTACCCTGAATCTTCCTTTGATGAGGTGGCGGATGTTATCTATGACTACCACACCCATCAAGCGGTGGATGATGTTCGTACACATTCACTGCCCCAGTATGCATACGATGGCGCCACCAACGAAACTACAGCCGGCATTCTGGTTGCATATAACGACGCAGTGGACGAGCTTCCAGAGATCATGCAGCCTTGGCTCAAGGTTAATTATACCACAAACACCCTCGGCAAGAAGACATACAGTGAACTGGCAGAGGAGCTTAACGGGCGCTTTGCTGGGGATGGATTTGTGTACGTTGATGAAATGCTTCTCTTCATACAAAGACACCTGCTAATTTAAATGGTCTGTTGATAGCCAGGAACAACGTGTGTTCACAGTATATGCTGATGCCCAGTTCTATAAGGACGTTTGGTTCAAATTCCGTCAATGGTTCCAGGATTATCGCGATATTCCTGGTTTCCAAGGATCCCACGGGAATATGCCAATCACCCCCAGGCAAGCCGAAGAAGGTGTTAAAAAGGGAGGAAATGCGCTTGGTTTACAGGAGGGCCCTCAGGATAAAACCCTCGGAAGTGAGTTACTTATCTCTCCCTCCCTTCAATTTTTATCCTCGAGTCGTAACTACAGGAAGCTAACAGCAGAATTCAGTTATATACTTTGGCGTAACGTTCAAGGACCCCAAGTATGCGGATAAAGTCTTACCAGCGCACAAGAAGTTTGTCGAATCGATGAGAAAGTTGGCTGAAGATCGTGGAGTGCTCCATCCTTACATGTAAGCTCTATTTCATCCCCAGTATCAAATTGGGTTTGGGACGATGATCTAACTTGTGGCACAGTATGCTCACATTCTCCGGGTACGATCAACCAGCCATTGCAAGCTATGGAGAGAAGAACGTGGCCAAACTGCATGAAGTATCTGCTATGTACGACCCCAAGGGAGTTTTCCAGCGTCTTGTCCCTGGCGGCCAGAAGCTACCGGCTCGCAAGTGATGGTCCTTTACGTCGTCATTACCATAGCTGAGAAGCCTAGAGTAAGACTGTCATTGAACTCTGGCAGTCCACTGATTATCTCATTGTTTTATCCTGTTAATACATGATGTTTCTTCCTTCCGGGCAACCAACTACATAGTTGTGACATAAAGCATATATCTATCTAGTGCATATACACTCTTCCACTCCTTAACTATGCCATCAACCATAGTCTTGTCGCTATTCAATTGACGCAGTTGATCCAAACACTCAGGGACCCTGTGTAGAAGCTTATGCGGCCTCCTTGCTGGATACTTGCCATCCAGTATTGGCGGGCTGAATCTCGTTCAAGGGAACCTTGCTTACATTTACCTGAAACATATAACTAGTTACACTGGACTATAGTTTGACCCATGGACCTATCCGTCTCATTTTGCTTCCTGATCTCCATTATCCTGAATCACCCTGAGGTAAACTAGACAGAGGATCCTCTAAACGGGCCATGCTGGCCTTGGAGCTCCAGCTTTCCGAAGAACAATTGAACATCAGCTACAATCTAGAGTAAAGAGATATGGCAACAAAGGTTTCAAGGAGCGGCAGGCTCCCAGTCAAGCTTATCAGGAGAGCAAAATAGTCATTTTATGGATGCTCACAGGTCATCAGTAGCAGTTAATCGAAGTAGCACTCAGATAATCATGTCCTTTATTCCCCCGTTTGGGTTCTTGTGCTCCGTGCCAACCTAACTAAATAACTACAACATATCTCCTCAGCAACCTGCGTTCTGAGGGCTTCCAAGGCCAACCATCCAAGGTCACTATACCATCCCTTTCATGACGCGTTACGAGTTAGCTAACTATCCCGTTAGATCCGGGAAATGTCATCAATGGGTTTTCAAAGATGTGACATCTCGCAGGGTTATTGACCAAAAGTACGCATCCAACCAATATCGATACCCAACTCGTTGACGTCTTCACCGACTCGGCGGCCGATCTTCTGCGCGAACAGGGACCTCTTGACCCGGCAGTCTGGACAATAGACAAACCGCCTGACCACTTGCAGCGGCCCCTATTATTGCTACTGGGGTCTCCATGTCTGCAATTAGGGGAAGAGCCTGCTGGTGGCTGGCATGGGATCTCCTCCAGGCCAGAAGAGGATTCAGCCAGCCAGTTGCAAATCAAACAGACAGGACACTTGCTGCCATCCATCAATATCAGGAGATTTCACCGTCTACGGAGGGCCTGCTCTCTCACTGAAGGCCTGAGACACGGTTTGTATGTGATGCTGGGAATTGTCCCGCTCTGATTTGTAACTGCTTACTCCGTACGGCAACTTGGGTTATCGACGGGGAACTGGAATAGTTAATAGGTTCCCGGGATGCGTCAGAATGGAGTCATGATGCCTCCGTCCTTACGGCCAATATTAAACCACTATCTGGTCAAGGACTGATTGATGGTGCGTTTACGGAGTACAAGATCATCTGTTCTCGGTCCGAAGTTATCAAGCAATATAACAGCCATTCATGAAATTTACGGGTTGGCCGTTTGCGAATAACCTGGACAGCCTGGACAGAGTGTGGTTGCTTCGGAAATGTTATGGATCGACCGGCCCTGGAGTGAAAGGTTGGGAGACAAACACGGAGCATGACTGGTGGTCTTTCTTTTTCGCTCTCAGTACCGAGGATTCCGATCTCCTGTACGGGGTACCCTATAGACAAAGGCACAGGGACAAAGGCGCCAGCTAGTTGGCTCTGTGGGCGGCCATCGGTTGCCTTCTGCTCTTCGGACCTGTAGTAAAAGTGCGCAGTCAACTTCGCCACAGAAAAAGGCCTCACTGCATGGCACATCTATTCTCAAAAGCATGGTCATCTCTATAAACTGACTTGTCAGGCCATCTTTACTAGCTAAAAAAAATATATACTACCATGAAGCGGCTGCTGGAACAAAATGGCAGATCGAAGCATGACAGAGCTCAACCTTAACTTGATAACTAACGCCTGAAACCCTGGCCAAACGACGAACTTGACATGCTTGAGATGCCGGGCCCAGAAGAAGCGGCTCCTAGGAGGAGGCAGTCCCCGGGCTTCCCTGTCGCTTGCACCAGTTGACTCAAAAGCCCCTCTCCCGCCCGCTATTTACGGATGATCGAGGGAGAAGAAACGAAAGGCAAAGAGGCAGAAAAAAAAAGCATTGTGGATGTCATATCATGGGCTCGGCGGAAAGCTTCGCAGGTTAATCCAGCTTTCGAATATTGACAGGGGCCTTGAAAGGCAGCCCAATCATCGTCCCTTGATATTTGTTGGATTCCCATCACACGAGAGACCTGCCTGTTGCTCTCCCATTTCCCCGGCTCTGTCTCCTCTCTCAAGGACGAGGAGGATATATGGATGCATGTGAAGCCTAGAATCTATTCGTCTCCTCATCTTCCCCACGGTTGACGAAGGTCTAGAGGGAGGAGCATACGAACTATTATTGATAGAGGGCTGGTTGTGCCATATTCTTGTGATCCTCTGACAGAGTATCGCGGTCTCTGACAAACGCCGTGTGCTGAAAACGGGTTCAGAAAAATACGGGAAGCTCCAAGAAATGTTACGACGCAGGGAACCCTCCGAATGGTGCGTCTTGGGAGGTTTCTTTTTCTCACTTGCTGCTGCCTGCTTCTTCTCTCGTTTCCCCTTCTCCCAGGCTGATCTGCACAGTGTTTTTTGGGGGCCAGAGGGAATTGAAACACAGCACCGACAGAAGGGAAATGGCAAAAAGCTGGAGGCCAAAAGCGAGATAAACTGGCAGTGCTGATTGGCCTCGATGTCTAGCCGCCAGCAGGGGCTCCACAGCCTAAGCTAGGCCAAATCTCTGCCATCCTTTATCCCTTGGTGTGTGCCAGGCTACCACACCACAGTTGACGTCAAAAAGTCCCTTTTGGGCTGTTCAACAAGTACTCTATCCTGCGGTACTTGAAGTACTTGTCCACCGGCATGGCGAGAACAGCTGATATTTGTTCTTTTCTCGACAAAACCGCCTACGCCACCAACCAGCTGCTGAGCCTCCTTGAACGCCTTATTCAGGCAGCCAGAGACGAAAGGGCCGGGTCTGGGGCAGACCTGTCCGCTGTACTCCAGCCCCGTCCATTTGCATGACGCCTTCAAGCAGATCCTGGCCCCGAAACCAGTTGTGCATAAACACTTTTCATCACAGAGTCTTGATATGCCCTAGCCCCATGCAGGGTGATTTATGAGGACTCACGGAGATGAAAAGCCTCTGACTTCTGATCAAGCGTTTCCCTTCTCTGGCCGTCAACTCTCAGTGTCATGGGCGACTCGCCCGCTTAAGCCAAAGATAACGCCAGCGATATGCTAGCTATACGCTACGTATGTATGTATGTACTCCATACACCCGCATCTATAGCCCTGACGGGTGTGGGATAATATACATACACACGTAGCTCTTGATGTACTTCCTGTGGAGCATACTTTTGGACCCTGCTTCTTCTCCCTTGCTTCCTTGAAATCTTGCCTGTTTCCCTAGCAAGCGCGAGGCTCGTAGCCTAGAGCATAGCGTTATGACTGGGGAATATATACTTCGTCGGTGACATACCAAAGGCATCCCCCTCCCTTTCAACTCAGAGGGAGCCGCGTCTACGATAACGTCAATAGGCTTAGTTATCTCTTTCTTCCCTTCTTCTTTATCCGGCTGTTACTCCTTTTCTTTTTCTTTACCTTCTACTCTCTCTCTGTTGTCTCTTTTACTTTGGTACATTCTTGGGAGCAAACACCGTCTTATGTCGTGAAACAACCATTCCCGACGCCAAAGGAATAGCAGAATTTCCTTCATGGGCTTGCGTTGATACAGGACTCACCGTCCTTTATTTCTTACACCGTCAAACAGCTTCGGGCCGTATCTTCTCCCACCCCCGGCCCTTTCGGCGGCGTAGGAAGAGGTATTGACTTGCTTGACTACCACGCCTCCCACCACCTGGCGCCAGTTCCGGCTTGTCAATCTTACCCAGTGATTTTACGTGTTACCTGTGTACATTGCTTTCCCACCTCAAGGTCCCCAGTCCCCGGTGCTTGGTTGGTCTTTTACGCCTCTTTTCCGGCCCTGGTTGTTGGTGTGTCTTATAAGCTTCGTTGGATGACGGTAGCCTGGAGATCTTCCCGTCCTTTCATATACGTCCTACTGTCCCAGTCGCCGGTCACTGGTCGTCGCGGTTTACTTCTACCTGTCTCCTCTCTGTCTGGACTAGCACGGATGTCGCTCTTCGCTTCTCATTACATGATGTGATGTACGCTTGCTGAGCACTGCTTAGCTGTTTTATTATTTCCATAAACACTTCTTTATTTCCTCTCGCCCTTTGAAAGTTTCAAATTTTATACCACCCTTACCGAGGAGCTGCACCGTCTATTAACAATATAACAATGTCTTGGGTGCGGTGTTGCCTAGATAGGCCAATATTGAAGCGGAGGTCGCAGAAAGCACCCGGACCACTCGATGAACGATTTGGAGATCCCGCAATCAGTGGCCCTATGGAAGGCGGATGGAACCAGATATCACCGCCAGCAGATGCTAAGGAAACAGGCTTTCCATCAACAAATGGCATATCCGAGCAATCTGCTAGGAGCTCCGGGGGAGACCTCGTACGGACCCGTTCGAAGCCCTGGAGATATTCCCCGCGAGGTTTCGGGTCTCGAAAAAATAATGAGCTGCTAGATTCTAGGAAAGGAGGTAAGGAGGATACATCAATGATTTCAACAACGAAGGACAAAGCCGACTTTGTCTACAAACCTGCCAGTGGTGAATTCCTGAAGACTATGGCCGAGCTAGGGAAGCCGAAGAATGGACGTTATTCTTCTGAAATGACCCGTTCCGTTGTTAACAATCGCCATACCTCATTGCAAAGCAATAGCTCTTTAGAGCCGACACTTCCTGGAGAGATCCCACGACACCCCTTCCATCAAGACTTCTCGACACGCAGTCAGTCTCCTGCTAATCAAACCCTTTCCAACAAGTCCTCCAGCCCAACAGAACATTACTTTGACCAGCGAACTCCGGCTACAAACCACAGCACATCAGCGCGAAACTCATCTGCTAGGGATGAAGACTGCAGCAGCTATGTGTCGCCAATGGACGTCGAGAAATCTCCTCGATCCATAATATCAGACACCGCCGCTGTGCCAACCTATTTACCTTCCAACCCTGCTCCGTCAGAACAAAGCCGAAGGAAACGAAAGGCCAAACAAAAGCGAGTGGTGACTTCTGAAATGGTACCCTCCACGAACGACCTTTTTGGCTGAAGAATCAATTTTCCGGGGGCCGATCGAGGGGGACATGTCAATTTCGGATTTCTTTAATTTCACGACTCCTATGAAAATCGCTACAATAAGGCTTTTCCCCAAAAGCCTCTTTGACGACAAACAGCCTGTTGCGATCCGGTTTACTCTTTTCCATCTTTTACCATTACTTAACCCACGGTGCTAAAATTGATGCAAGATGTCCTATACTGGCAAAATTCTCTCCTTTGACGTTTCTTTTCTTATGGACCGCTTGGGCTGTTATTTATTGGCGGGAAATTAGGTGTTTCGGGGATGTCTTTCTTGGGGAAATACCTTTCATTCTTCCTATTATTTCCTACGGTTTTTTATGTATCGGATATATCAACGCAAGCTACACACATATGTCGTCTTAACGCTGAATACGTACATACACGTCTTGATGAACCGCTATTGGCGCAACTTAGTCCCATCAATCGAATGCCAATGATGGAACTCTAATGATTAGCTCAAGCTCATGAGAGAGCTTTGAACTCCCTAGATCTGCCCTGACGCCCCATCTTCTAAGCATGGGGTAAGTGGTGGTGGTGGTGGTGCTGTCTGTGGTACGGAACATCACCGTGACTCGGGTGACCTTCAAGTTAGTCGTGCAAGACATGCATACTCCAAATGACACAGGACCGGATGCTCTGTACCCTCGGCTGGAAGAAACGGGCTGTACATGTGCAATCAACCCCAACCATCAAGGTAGGGGAGGTTGCGTTCAGCATGCTGGCAAGCATCATGTATGTGTATGGATGTATGGGTGCACTTGGTAAGCATGCTATATAATAATATATCAAGACAGGGAACTCACAACATATCGGGCGTTTAGTAAATCAGCCCTGCATCTTCTATTGGATTCACTATCACCTGACGGAGCGGAACAGGCCCGTTTGAAATCACCTTCAATTGCCGGAAGACATGGATTAGCAACAAATCAGATCTTTGGCTATACGAATTTCCTCCGTGGCTCCCTTTGAACCATGTCTGGAGGGAGGATGTGCGAATGGTCGTAAGGATATGATTCGTCAAGTCGTCATCCAGACATTTCTTTTCATACGTCGCCAGCACCCAGGATTCCCCAGGATAAAGAGCAAGAAGGCAAGAAGCCTGGATATATCTGAACGTAGTGGCAGGCCTGCAGTGGGTGGAAATTTCCACGCATAGCGGTTATTCATCGGGGGAGCAAGAGACAAAAATGGAAAAGAGAGGAAATCGGACAGGGTAACATGGATTTCAAGCCAGACAGGGGTAGTTGGACCAATCCTTTCGTGCATGACAGGTTGAGTCACCTTGTAGCACGAGATACCGTAACACTTGCGAGAGTGTACCGATAAGCAAGTAGTGGCTATCTAATATGTATGGAGTAACAATAGCGTTGTTCCCGTTAGACATATCTAATCATCTGCTGGCACAGAGAGGCAGCAGGAGCCACGATAGCCTCTCGTGACCTGATTTTGGGAAGCAGTACTTTGCCGCTCTGCTCAACAAGTAGTGTAACAACGAAATGTGTGGAACTGAGGGGGATTTGAACTGGGATAAAAGGGGCGAACCAAACTGTCGGGACAATCATGGCGATTTCTTTGGATGGCCAGTCCTTGTTGGGCATGCTCGTTTCTTTTTCACTCAGACGGAAATCCGAGGGAAAGCTTCAGCCAGACAGGGTTGGGGAAAATCATGAAATCTCGGTACTTTCAAATACCTCCCATATTATTCTGCATCATTTAATTATCCCTGCCAGTAGCTGAGAGACAGACGAGAGGTTGGAAGCCACAAGTTCTTGGAGCCAGAGAAGATGGCGAAACGTCCTTTTGCAGTGCACAGGTTTTGGCAAGAGGAAGATGATTTTTGAATAAGGAGAACGTTCACTGTATCATGATCACCATGAGAACCGGCAGTTGTAAATCATCGATATGCAGGGTCAAACTCACAGGCCATCCCTACCGGTTTGCTCTTTGACCTCCTGACCCCCATCTCCATCCGTTGGCCCTGGCGCAATCGACGCGAACATTTCTATAAGAAATCCCACCAGCTAGCTTAGCCGTCTGCGTGCCTTTCGAGGGATAAGGCGACAGGCTAATCGATATTCCTTGCCAAATATAACATTTGTAGTTCCAGTAAAATGGCCCAGCCTTCGCCCCCTTGGGAGCTTATCGATTTCTGCGCCTTGATGACCAGATATCAATGATACCCAATCACCTTTCACCCCTCAGCAAGGGGAGGTTGGGGGATCTTCCCAAGGAGAATTCACCGGCTTCTTTTGCGTCCTGTTGAATTTCTGGGAATTTAGACACGTCCTCCTGTAGGGATTTTGCGATACCCCTGTAGATGCAAAATAACTGTTGCTTCACTCGATCTTTGGAAACCCCATGGCAGTGGTCCAATGTATCAAAGAGGACGAAGGTGTCCATTAGTTCGACTATTTTCCGCCCCCTCGTCTGCCTACACCGGATTTTTTGAATTATAGCCAGGGGCCCGTTATGGTTATGTGTTGAGGGGAACCCTGCTCAGCGGTAGCGAGCATGTTAGCCGTTATATTCATACGGGTGACCACTCTCAAATCCAGCAGATAAGCTTGTTTTTGCCCAGGGGATGTGAATGACACCCTAAATTCCGCAGGCTGAACATCAACTGGCAAAGCAGGAGAGAACGAACATCCAAAATAATCCTCTCATGATGCAAGCCCCTGAGCTTCTCTCTATGCATTCGTTGAGTTCGAGTTGTTGTTGCTGGATGTTTGATATCAGGCAAAAACAAGGTGTGCGGGTCAATAGCCAATCATATCCAAGAGAGTAAATGCGCCAATAGCCAATAGCTTTGTTTATATATATTGGGATAAGACTAGCTATTGGTTTGTATATATAAATTACATTATTGGTCAAAAATTGCTTAGTAATATTGAGCACATCAACTTTGGACCGCAACAAAGGAAAAGAACAACGACGACAACCATGATAGCGCATGTGAACTGCACGATACAACCCGAATGCCATCATTAACCCTGAAATACCTTCATCAAGGGCAGAAACTGGGCTGCTTCTGACTTTGCGCTCTCCATCTCTGCCGCTGAAGGGCTCTATACCCCACACGAATGAATCTAATGCCGCATATTAGGGTAGTTGGCCTCGGATTGTATAGCAAAAGAGGCTAATGAATGACTATGCAAGGCAACCCAGAGTACCAAAACAACCTTTATTGGCTACCCCGTGCGTCTTATCTTAGAATTCATGATTGCAGTTATATAGATGAACTATCTAGCTCGTGCGGACCGACAGATACTCCCCAGGAGGCTCCGTGAGATATAGGGAATCTCCCAGAAATGAAGAGGGCTGTGATTCCCTTGAATACCCTGGCGGGAGATTACTGTGACATGCTAGTATGTCTGACAATCAGACATCCTGCCAAGGAGACGTTTCGATTCCACCAGACAACTAATGACCGCAATGTCTGTACAATTCGTACCTTATTCGTACCTTATACCCGGATGAAGGGAAAAACAGATATTTAACACGTCATTCTTCTCTCAGGCCGCTTCATTTTTATACTATTTAGTTTCCACGACCTTTATTTTCTACCTACCGACGGGCTCATCGTCGGTCAACTGCGCTATTGACTGCAAATCTTTTTGTCGCTTCATGTCTGACATGAGATACGGGTTATTATCTCCCGAGTGTAGGAGAGGTAAATCCATCCACTACATCATTACTGTAGCATTTCGGCAGCAGGTTGAAAAGCTACTACCACAAGATGCCACGGAAAATACAGTCAACTTGACTTTTGGGTTGCGCCATGCAATATCTTGAACTCTGGTTGAGAACTAATTAGGCTCGGCCCGTTCCGGTTCCAGTTTATCTGGGGAAGAAAAAATTATTGAGTGATAATCAAAAGGAGCGACGTTGGCCTGGCGCTTATCGAGAAAATGATGAGGCTCAACGCCTTCGGTGTCATTGCGTCCGTAGTACTGGGAATTGGGAATCAAGTATTGACTAGCACGCAAGGAGACGCGCAGTTCGCCCAAGAGATGCAAAGTGTCCATGCGTGATCAATAATTAGTATCTCCACTAGACTCGGGCTAACTGTAATGACGGGTTCTCATCAGATGCCATTATCTCCGAACAAGATTTTCCTAGTACGGGATCACATACAGCAGAGAGTGAAGAACCGAGAATGATAGTAGTCCCGCCAAAAAGAAGGACAGATCACAGATTTGGCATCATTGTCAGCAATGATGTAAGTGATCATTCAAAGAAGATACATTGAACTGGTATATGACAGCAGTGATGCGAAGCCAGCGTTTGACTATCTCTGTGACAGGACTTCAAGTCGAAAAAGAGGTGTGATTCTGCACGTAATGCTTTTTGGATGTACATCTCGATCTGTCTTGCCAGGGAGAAACTCAAAAGGGTAAGTCGTACGACAAAAGAGCTTAGTCGGATAACTGCTTCACCTGTACAGAGCACCTCCAATCTTGACAAGGATGTGTGGAGTTTGGCACAACACCGTGATATATTAATATCTCCCTTCGCACCTACAGCCACGACCACAGCCTCGCTGGATCATAAACTTCACTGCGCCGTGCTATCGAATATGCTCCCCTGCTCAACCCAGGCTTTCGGCAGTCCCGGCCCTCTGGTACTGGGCGCAGGTCCAACTCCCAGCACAAACATTCTTCAAGGCCTGGTTAAGTTGGCCTTATTTTACTTATTCGACATTTCATCTCCGGCTGCAGATCGATTTCTTCACTTCGATTCCTCGGTAAGGAAATCCAAAAAGGGGAAATTCTCTCTGGTTATGCGTGTCAACCATGGACATGGCTGGCTTGCAGCAACCAAACTCGGGCTGCAGACTACCTGCGTTGTGACTCCAAAACTCGGTAAGGTGGCACAGAGTGTACATTAGTTAGGCCCGTTTGTCTGGCCCGTTTGCCCCCAAAAATGACCATGTTGGCAGCTAGCTGGCCAACTATTCACCGGATTGCTGGG